AGACAGTGTTCGAAGCAATGGGATGTTACTACCACTTTTGTTTTTGTCAAGAAGCTCGTCCCTTAACCGACCTGGATATTGAACGAGGTAAAAAGAAGAAAGAGATGGAAAATATGAGACGGGAATACATAAAAGAGAAAGGATACAAGTTGAAGAATTGTGGCAGTGTGAGTGGTGGGAAAGATTCAAAACCAATGTCAAGATCAAAAAAATGTCAGAATTTACTTCCTCTACAAAAAACATCTTTGTACAGACTCCTTTGTAGCAAAAAATTAAAGATGGATCTCTTTTTGGTTATGTTCAATGCAATTTAGTTGTTCCAGATGAACTGAAGTGAAAAATTGCCAACTTTCCTCCGATTTTAAAATTCACTGAGGTTCGAAGAAACGATATTGGAGTCCACATGAAGATTATGCAATCTAGAATGAAATTTTAAAACATCCTCAAGAATGCTGATATCTAGTTTGAAGCTAGAAAAAGGAACAGTTATAATTTCTCTCTTCAAAATTTATATGGAACTTGGCTTGCAGTGCACCAAAGTTTACCGTTCTGCTCAGTATTTGCATCGAAAATGCTTTGATAATTTTGTTCAATCAGTGGTTGATGCGAGAAGAGAAGGAGATGAAAACCCTTTCTCAGGAGTTGTAGCAGAAACTATGAAGCTTTTTGGGTAATTCCTCCTATGGATATAAGATCATGGATAGATGCAGGCATACAAGTACGAAGTATCTAAACGATGAAAAACCTCATAAAGCGATCAATGAACAATTGTTCACAAGATTGAATACAGTTGAAAAAGACTTGTTTGAGGTGGAGTTGTTGAAATCAACCATTGAGCACCGTTAACCCCTCATTGTTGGCTTTTTCATAATTCAGCATGCAAAGCTGCGAATTTTGGAACTCTACTATAATTTTTTTGACAAGTTTTGTGATGTAAATAAATTTGAAGAGTTGGAGATGGACACATACTCACTCTACTTGGCACTTGCTGAAGAAAATTTGTACGACTGTATCCAACCGGAAAAAAGAGACATTTGGGAAAAAATGGGGGGAAATGACTGCAGAGACTCTTTCAAGGCAGATGCAAAGTCTAATTTCTTACCTCGAACGTGTTGCAGTATCCATAAAAAGAGGAATTTATGTGCACAGAATTGCTATGTTTATGTAGCAAAATATATTGCTGCTAAGACAACAAGTCAGACAAGTTCAAATTCAGTAGTAAAGGTTTGAACAAAGGAGTTCTAGAAGATTCTGGAGATGGAACCATGTCAAAATACAGGAGAGTGCTCGATGAAGCAGTTAACTTTACATCTACTAACTGAGGATTCAGAAATATAAATCATATGGTTGGTACATATGAACAGACAAGGAAAGGACTTAGTTATTTTTATCCAAAACGACAAATTCAAGATGATGGAATTGATACGAAACCATTGAACTTATAACATCTAATCTGATAAAATAAATTTTTTGATGATGTCCTAATATATTGGTTTTATGATATTACAATGTAAAATATTGCGGTAAACTCATTATACAATGCAGTGATTTATGTTTTATTTTTTGTAATTTAATTTTTTTCTCAAATTTTTTTTTGAAGTTTTAGTAGCTTTCAGCATGGTTTAAAGAAGATGTTTCAAAAAGCAAAAAAAATGAATTAGTTAATAGGTCGAATTATAACAAATATTGTGCTTCAAGGTTTTTTCAAAAAAAAAATCAGTTTTTTGATTAAAAAAATCTCAATTTTTGCTCAACAACTCTTACCATTGACTTACCATGTACCAAAAACCTATTTAAAAGACCTTCACTCTACAATCTACACGTAATTAACAAATAATGTTTTCAGAGTGGATAACGCGAGCCGAGATTTCTGCGAAAAAAAGTAGACATTTCCACACAAAAGCCAAAAAAAATTCGTTTTTCTGACAACTTTCTTATCATCACACAAACCATGAAACCTTACCATTGGTATTCCCTATCCTAATACCTTGTAGACTCTATACCCAATGTTAATAGATAGCTGGGTGACTGGATGATCAATTCCTTATCTTAAAACAAGCGGGTCACTCTCCTCCTCTCCCCCCCCCCCCCTTTGTTAGATTGTCAAGGTAACTTTGTTCTCTTAATTGATTATGCATAACCCCGAAAATCCAATGAAAACAAGGGCGGGTTTGGGGGGAGGGGAGAGAGAGTTACTTTCTACTGCTTTAAATTCAACGGTAAATAATTCGCTTTTACATTGCATTCAATTCATAATTATCATTTTCAAACCCAACTTTTAAAACTTTTTGTTTGTAAAAGGGAAAATAATTTAATTTCAAATATTACCTTTCTTCTTTTTCATTTTCTGTTTTCTTCAGCCCTCACTTGTCTGTCTGCAAACTCGACGACCATTTCTTAGCTCTAATTTCGACTGTTTCTTCTCATATCACTTTCATTGATATGGAACTCTCGAAATAGATATAAAACAAGAAGACCCAACGGAATTATATACAAAACAAAGAAAGAAAGTTACAAACGAAATTTGAATACACAAAGGAAATATGATAAATCTAACTATGATAACTAAGTAAATAAGATCTATTTACAAAGGGACTTCACACGACCCAAAGGTTCTACCCTTTGTACTATTCTGAGATATTCATATTTGACTGATGGAACTTAGATTTTTTCTAAAGGCACCTTCGGCTTCAATATATACTAATTTTGAATGGAGAGCGCGCCAAAAAAAATTTTAATTTTTGGTCAACTATTTCAAAAAAGTGCCTAAAAACGCTTTTTTGGCCAATTTTTCAAAAAATTTTCCTGCGGCGCAGAAATTTGGCTAAAACAAGGTCTTCTTAGAGCTTTGGGAGAGCTTGAAAATTCATATTGGTCGACCTTAAAAAAGGTCGACAAAATTTTCAAAAAGTTTTTTGAGAATCCCCCCGCCACTCGAGAAAATCTTAGATCCGCCCCTGAATGAAAGTATTTTTTAATTCCTTTTCTTGACATGTGCTATTTTTCAAGTAATAAAAACGACTTCAAAAGTCGCAAATTTTTTTTTCCTGAAAACTGAATCAAGGTTCTATCCTAAGTGATTTTTATAATGAAAAAAATGTTAAATGCTTAAGCAATTTTTGAGAAATTCTAAAAAAAATTCAAAAATCAACATCAATATCCAAAAAATCAAAATTTTTTACCATTTAGTTAAATATTTGAGGCGATTTACTTTTTAATATGAGGAGAAATAACCATGAGAAAAGTCGTAAATGTTTACCAAAAATGGTCAAATTGATTGCAACAAACATCAACGCAGTTGAAAGATAATGGATAAATAAGTAATTTAAATGACTTGTTGACTAGAATTTTTTGGGAAATTGAACTAAATTGAGAAATTGTTGATACACTGAGCTCAAAAAACATGTTTTACCTGCGATCATTTAGTAGAAATTATGCAATTTTGAAAGTAGCATATTTTTCTATTTGGGACAAATAAAAGGCGCTGTTTTTTGCTTTATTAACACGAAAGCGATCAATTAAACCAGCTGAAAAACAAACAAAAATCAAAAGAGAAATTTTTTATAGTTTTTTTGACATATAAATAGACGAATGATGGATAAGGCTTGCAACTTTTTGATTTCTTTTGTGTTTTTAACAAAGCAGAAGACTTTAAGGCGCTGTCGGAGTATTCGGAGTGTTGCCATGAGACCATCATTTGTCGCTTAGTCCTTTGCCACCATAAAACCAGCATTTGTCGCTGAACGAAGTAACCGGACAGTGATGCACGAGTAGAATATAATTTTTTAGAATAGATGACATATTTAGAACATAATCTGTTTACGCTTCTACGGTCCAAAATTTGATATAAATTAAAGATAATGGCAATTGTAGCAGTACATTTAGACCTAATTTTAAAAAATAGCCATTTTTGGTTCATTGTTAGGAGGATCTCATTGGTATTAAAAACGAAGCTGAAAGCACAAAATCAAACATATTTCTAATTTAATCAAATTTTATACATAGATTATGTACTGCACCAGACTGGGGACATGTTAAATTAATTTTTCAATGATGGTCAAAGAAGAACAAAAAAATTCGAACTCTATGTATCAGGTTTAACCTCCCAGGTTTGAAACAGCTAGCCGAGCAGTTTTTGATCGAATACCCAGCCGCAACAAGGCAGCTTTTAAAAACC